GCCCAATGACTTGCCAAGATGATATAAAGAAATCAACATTGTACCCATCCGGCCCCGGGGCTTTACCTTTGGCAAGGGAGAAGAGAGTGTTGCGTATTTCCGAATTTGAGACCTCCTTGGATAACAGGTTGATTTGTTCACTACTGAGAGTATGAGCCACCATAGGCTGGACATCAGCACAGGAAGGCCGATCGTCAGATCTCTTGCGCAGAGGAGAGTCTGAAAATACGAAATGATATGGTTATGAACTAATGTCGGGTCTGTAAGGAGGATACCATTAGAGTCAGAGACCGAGAGGATACGATTGCTATGTTGTCTCTTGTTGACAAAATGATAATATTTGGTGTTCAAGTCCCCATCATTCAGCCATCTAATTCTCGATTTTTGTTTGTAAAAGGCTTCCTCCTGTAGACGTAATTTTGAGAAGATTAGAAACTGCTCCTTCTCTAGGTTTGCCAGTTCCATATTAGTAGGATCAGAAGCTAAGGAGTCTTGAGTGGACGAAAGCATCCCTCTTGCTTGAGCTATGTGAGCCGAAATGTCAGAGAACGAATCTCTATTCAATTGCTTGAGTCGCCCTTTTAGAATCCTGAGTTTTTGGCACAAACGGAACATCGGAGTGCCAGTGATAGGTGACTCCCATACTTGCTTAACAGTAGCCAGAAAAGCCTGATGAGATAGCCAAAAGTTGAAGAATTTGAATGGCTTTCTCGAAGAAACTGCATGTTCAATTATGATGATCATCGGGGAGTGATCAGAAACTCCCGAAGCCAAGAAATTTGCCTTTGAGTAAGAGAAGGAGCTGGTCCAATAAGCATTAATCAGCACCCTATCGATCTTCCTTTGCTTGCGATTTACTCCCACTGAAGTTGACCACGAGAAACGATGGCCAATATTTCTCAAGTCATCAAGACCAGCTTGGTCTAAACAAATGCCAAGTTCATCAAAGGCCGGTAACCATGCGTTAGAACAACCAATTCTGTCAGAGTTGTCCCGTATAGCATTAAAGTCCCCGGCGACCAACCAAGGTTCATTTTCAAACAGACTACTTGAATGCACAAGATCTGCCCAAAGTGCACGGCGAGCCACAAAGGTATGCTCACCATAAACAACCGAAAAAAGACAAGTCTTATTGAAGGCCAACAACCGGACCCGACCATGGATAACTTGCGTGGATCTAGAAAGGACTTGAAGGTCTATTTCTTGTGGATTCCAGCCAATCCATATTCTACCACGCGGTGAGGAATCATAATTGGCCTTCCACTCCCAGCCCGGCAGAAGTCCGACAGAGAGAATTTCAAAAAGAGTCGGATTAATCTTTGTCTCAAAGATGCCAAGACAAAAGATATTATGAGCTCTAACAAGGGCTCTTATTTCCGCCTGCTTAAGGGGGTTGCCTAGACCCCTAATATTCCAGACGCCAAAAAACATTAGACATGGGTCTAAAATAATTACCTCTTTTTAGTGCCAGCCCGTTTTTTTGGTTTACGGCTGGCCGCCTTAGCAGTTGTGGGACTCCTCTCTTGAACTGGACCCCTATTCATAACGAGCACGAGATGGGCCTTTGTTGACAAGATCAGCATCATCGGTCGGGATTGCATCCATTTGGGCCACCTCTGAGGAAGTAGAAGGACGGCTATCTGGCACTTCTCCTTGATTCAATGGAGCTTTGCGGCGTGTTATAGTCGGGAGAGGGGAGGGAGACCCATCCTCAGATTCACTTCCAACATTGCTAGCAGTAGCATCTATCTGGTCCTCCGAGTCAGAGGATTCCAGTGAGGGGTCCAGCGAGGGTGCTTCAGGGACATGATGGGTTTGGTGCTCCCCCTTTTGGGAAATCTGAATGAGAGCCGAGTGACCATCTCTATCAAGGGAGACAATACTCGCTGGATTATTGCGGGGATTGCCCTTCTTGTTTCTCACAATCTGCCATGAGTCAGCATTCAGAGGGGCTTCGGTAGCAATAATAGGAGGATTAGGCTCTGTAGAAGGCCCGGACGGTACAATGCTTGAGGGAGCACATTTGTGCCCAAAGAAGCCACAGGTTGGGCACGAGATTGGGCACCACTCATATTCAACCTTGATCTTCCAGATTTCATCATTCATATAAATGTCAATGGAGTCAGCCAGATTTTGTACAGCATTAATTTCAATGCACACCCTAACATATGATATCATCTTCATCTTCTCAGTTTGTAGGTCAACATGCAAAGATTTCCCAATTGCACTGGCAATTGCACTAATTCCAGTAGCTGGCCATAAGGAGACAGGAATGTCCCTCAACTTCACCCATACCGGCAGAGACTTATGCTGGTCTTTCACTAGTTTCAGAGTAGGATACCACTGCTGTAACATCATGGGGACTCTGAGGATGGTTATAGGCCCCCCATCCAGTATTTTCCGCCGATAACATTCGTCCGGAATGTGGAAAAAAAAGAAGCCATCGGCATTTGCTAAGACGTCAATAACATTTGACCCCCAGACATTTTTAACTGCTGTTTTTGTCAACTTGAAAGGGAGTTTTTTCCCCACAAAGTATCCAACGATGCATTCTCTCCATTTCGGATTAGCATCCTCCAAGATTTCATCAGAGATTCTAACTACAGGTTTGCCACCAACAATAGTTGGAGGTATAAAGGAGAGGGCATACCCCTTTTCCATCGTTCTAGCAACTGTCGCCCATGATCTCTGGGTTATTTGCTGCTTATTGCCCTGTGGGGGTGCCTTGGAAGTTGCTGCCCCCTTTGCTGCGACTTCGATGGGATCGATCGCCTGGAGGGTCCATAGAAATCCCAGCATCAGTAGGGCGTCTGTTGGACCTGGATCGGCCACGGCTTCGACCACGAGTATTTCGTTGCTCATGTTGAGCCACATGTACAGACTTCCCCTTTGGTTGAACAGCGTTAGGAGGAGCATGTTGCTCTGTTTCCCTAGGAGGGTCAGATCGTTCACCGACTCTAGACGAGCCAGCATTGTGTGTGGGAGACTTAGGAGGTACCTTCAGAGGGACGTCCTGACCCATGTTCTCTTTCAACCGCGAGAGGCGATCCCCAGAGTTTTGCTTTCCAGTCATGGTCAGCTTTGAAGGAGGAGAGCCATATAGCAGTACGTGCGTCACAAACCCAGTCGAACAACACCCGTGTCCCGCAGAGGTCCAATTCTGGGTTTGAGACAAGAAAGGATATCTCTACCCCAGCCTTTCAAATTCAAACCACAACGAGACCGGCAGAATGCAGAGGATTGAACCATAAACCAGGAAGAATCGCCTAGACAATCACCCAGTATCTCCGACACACAGAAAACCAGAAACCCAGAAACCCAAATTTCTAGATCTGTTCTCTCGAGCAGCAGACACAAAGAAATCGAGATTCAAGCGGGAGTATGTGAAAGGCTAACCTTGCGAGTCTAGCAACCAAGTTACAGCCACAAACATTGGCTGAAACACCCCAGGAGGCGCGCCTTCTGGGCGAGTGAACAGTGCCACGAGAATCAGAAATTGGGAGAGAAAGTGAACAGTACTCGCGTGAACAGTATTAGAAGCGGGAAATTGTTGAAATCTCGAATTTTTAACTCCACTAGATCCACAAACATTTCAACATTATCAATCTAAGGCACACATCTCTTGAACACGTGATCAACAACCAAGAAATCACTAGTTGGAGTATCAACATGGAATGCATATTCAAGAGGCTCAAGCAACACATCAAGCTTATTTGCAAATTCAATAAAAATAAAGGAAATGTCTAGCACCATGATTAAACAACGCTTAAGCATATTGTAAGGCAATAGAAAATAATACCTACTACAACTACCTTAAATGATGCAAGATCCTCTTCTGTCGTAACAAAAACTTTCCTAGATATCCTTTGTCTTTACTGGTTCTCTTGGGTCTACCAACTAAAGGAGCATTTCTCTGCATGGAACAACTGCGTGCTAGGTGTCCTGGTTGCCCGCACAGGTATCGTGGTGTCAATTGGAGCATCCCTCTATATAGCACAATCCTGTTGCAAGTAACCCACTTTCTCACATAAGAAGCGCGCTCCTGTTTTCTAGCAACACTCACTGCCTAGATACTTTCTACATGTATTACAAGGGCCCGCAGTATTCTGAGTTTTAAACTTCCCTGGTTTGCTGATGCCTCTCTGCTTATTGCTACCACTTGCACAGCTTTCTTGAAAATCAGTGAACTTTGGGCAAAGATGCATATCAAGTAATACTTGACAAGTTTTAGATAAATCGGCTTAGGCGATAGGGCGACAAGGTATGTCCCTTGCATCCTGTGAGTCAGATTCCTTTCATATTGATCCTATTGTATCCTTTTTAAGTCTCACCTTGAGAACCTTTAGGCTTATCTCTGGTATTGGAGGTAATTATTCTCTTGCCTTTACTATTCTTTTGAAGCGATGCAAGTTTCTCAAAGTCAGAACACATGATCACCTGGATTCAAAACGAAACATAACCTTAGCACCTAAAAGATTAACGCACTAAAACTATCACATAATTTCACAACATCCCATAAAAGCTACACTCAAACAAATCAAAACCTAAGTTTTGATACCAACAAATATCACATCCCAAATCCAACAAAAATAGGGGATGACACGGCCGTCCTTCCACTTGAAGGACACAATCTCAAACACAACCAACAACCTGTTATAAAAAAGAATAAATCTAATAAAACAACATGTTGGTTACAACATTAGAGTTTCTATAATCGATAAAAAAATAATACAACTCCGACTAACAACTAAACCCAGCAAAGTCCTCTCAATGTAAACTGACCAGTTTCATTGAATTTATCATCCTTAAACGATGGAGAGATCATCAGACACATCAACTATAAGTGAAAAGACTACAGATTACAACATTCAGTAAAAGATTTGGCCAAGTACCCAAGGAAACACAAAAAACAGTGGGAAAAACTAAATAATATAGACAAGAAAGTGGCAGTAGGTCATGCCAGCATACTACCTCAGCGTAAAAAATTACCAAATCGCTCAACAACACCAATGCACAATAAATAACCAGACAAAAGTTCTTCCAATAAGCCAAATTTACCACACTAAATTCAAATAGACTTAGACACCAGGTCAAAACAAATGCATAAATGCAAAAAAAACGTATTTCTGAGTGAAAGTGAGACAAAGTATGTCAAAAGCAAAAAGTCAGTGAAAGAAGTCCACAATAGTTCCATGAAAGGAAAAAAACGGAAGACAAACAAAATATCATTAATAGAAAGTATATAAAATCATAGTACCGAGCCAAAGAAAAATTCTTCATCTAATTCCAAAAAGAAAGTCTCTATTTTGCCAAAGCAAAGAAGAGCCATCCAAAATCAGTTAACAGAAGAATTAAATCAAAAGTCAGATGTGCCAACCAAAACTAAGATTTTCCAAGCATCTATTGTAAGAGCAAAAAGTCATTGAAAGAAGTCCACGATAGTTCCATGAAAGGAAAAAAACGGAAGACAAACAAAATGTCATCAACAGAAAGTATATAAAATCATAGTGCCAAGCCAAAGAAAAGTTCTTCATCCAATTCCAAAAAGAAAGTCTCTATTTTGCCAAAGCACAGAAGAGCCATATCAGTTAACAGAAGAATTAAATCAAAATCAGAAGTGCCAACCAAAACTAAGATTTTCCAAGCATCTATTGTAAGAGCACCATGACGAATAAATCCTACATAAACTATCTACATGATTTACAGACGATCCAATCAGTAGTGGCAGTTCACATATGAAATAAGAATTAAGAGAAGCAAGCCAGAACTAATGTGGACCTCCTGCTTTCCAGACTCGCAAACAATTGCTACAGCCGAAGAAAATCTACAGTTATTGACCTTCCAAAAACAACTGAATACTCAGATAATGCCAAGAATCAAGATCTTGTCCAATCAAATCATTTTTCTAATGTCCAGCTAAAAACAAACCATCGCGGATTGAAGGACACTCCATATCGAAGTTAATTCTGACCTAAACAAAAAAAGAACTGAAAACATCCTCTTTGATGAAAATTGAAGGAACTAGAATCAATAATATTTGAAGCATTCACTGTCCAGAATCCACGAAATGGGAAGTATCAACAATGCTCGAAATTTGTCAGCGATGAAGAATAAACGAAGGAGCTGAGGAACACACAAATCGATGCACCTGGCTACAGATTCGAAATCGGCAAGACAACTGGGAGAGGAGGGACATGCAAATAGCAGGTCCCAGTTTCTTCAAATAAACAGATTCAGAATCAGCAAGACAACCCTCTTCTGCCACTTGTCATCCAAAGAATGATGATCGTCAAGGGAGAGAGTCAGAATTATGTTCAGACTTCAAATTAAAGAGAGGGATTATGAAAGAAGTCAAATACAGACACGAAACTTCTACAGATAGCTCCATCATCATAATCATGTGTCCTAAAGATGTTTCCAAATCTGAACGTTCAAGTAAGCCTCAAGACGGTAGAGTAGCATATGGCCGCAAAACAGTTCACAGTCAGTCAAGATTATATCGTGCTCAGCCAACCTGTCAAGAAAAACCATAGGCAGACAAATTCCCAATAACAGATTCAGGTCCCTTAAGGCGAAGGAGATACAGCAGGACCTCTTCATTGGTACGAATATCTTTAAGTATGACTGGCATCTCAGTTAGTTCTCAATTTTCATTACCTCTTTTGATTGATGACAGCACAAACGATATAGCCTTGCAAGTTAAGCATTAACTAGAAGGAAAATGAGTAAAACGAACAAATACTTAGAAATCAGAATTAGAGATAGCTTTCATATGACTACATGACTCAAGATAGGTAGCAAACTTAATCCAGAACATCCATTTTTTAACAAGAACTAGGTTATTATAGCAAAAGCACGGAAGTTCTCAGAATTGCAACAGGTTGTCATTAGTACATCCAGATGTAATGGCCATTCCGATAACCATGCTGTCAATCTAATTAAAAGCATGATATCAAAATTACTTCCAAGTCCCGCCAATCTGAATAGGATTCTACCAATTGATGCAAAATATCACACCCCCCGAAAAAATTCTGCACTGGCGACACCGACTTCCAGAGTAGAAATTGGAAAAAAAATTATAAAAAAACAAACCAAAAACTTGAACCACAGAGAAAGGGGTCACCATTGTGGGTGCTTAAGACCTAAACCACTCGGGAAATCTCTTCTAGTAGGAGTGTAATATGTCCAGCCACCAGTTCAATGTTCTTAGTGAAGAATCTATAACATGACAAATATGACAAAAGTGCAAATTGGATTTGAAACAAGTGAATATTAAACACTAAACATGACATATAAGACGGTTCACGTTTCTGCAAATTTATCCACCAAGGTAGTAATCAATTGACCGAGTATATCCACATTGACTTTCAAAGTAAGACAGCAATCCAGATAAGACCAGGACTATTGCTTCAGGTATGTACTACCAATGGAGCACATTTATTAAGTGGCACAGTCAGGGAAACAAGATCGCACCAATGAATGATACATATAAAAAAGAACGGACAACTAGAAGGTACTGTAACATTAAACATTATTGATTGTCACAGACGGAGCAAGCATAGACAGCATTTGATCAAGTAAAGTCAACCATGTATCGCAGTCGTTGGCATCATGGAACAAGTTAGAAAATTTGTCAGGCTAGCATCAGCTTTACTGATGTCAGGACAATACAACTATCGCATTACGAGTATATAGCAAGAAAGAACATGATTTCTGCCTGTCACCATCCCTATTATATAGTTGTCCTAAGATCTGCCCGATTATGCTTGATCTATATCCCGCCAAACAACAATTGTCATAGTCGTCCTAATATATAAAATTGCAAATATTTGCTCAACAAAGTAAGAAACTGACAATAAACAGGAACAGCTCTCCATATATCCTGTGCAGGAAGCATGAATTCCTATGCAAGGTCTTAAGAACTTTTAATCCTCGAATTCAACATCAGCTAACTTATGCATAGCTCAAACATCATACGACCTGCCAAAAGAAACAACAGCATACTATCTCAAACAAAGAGCAGGCGTAAAAAAGGTGACAAAAACATCCTAACCATCATCCACATCATGCAAACTCCCCACATTCAAGATTCTTGAAAATATAGTTTTAAAGGTCCAAATCAATGCCAGCTTCCTGAGGAGAAATTGGTTCTGCTTGACAAGTTCTGGAGAGTATGTGGAGAATCCATGTGTAGGGATCAAGCAAACTTGTGGCCAAGTAATTCACAATCTCAATAACAAGATATAAAAGAAATTCATTTTTGAGGCAAATTTAGATCAGGTGAAGATTAAATTAGGAGCATCCAGAAGAGAGAGCTCCCTGAAAGAGTGATTACAGATTGAACCAAACAAATTGAAAGTAGACATGGATAATCTGATCTGCCATAATATTAGTGATTATCTGCAATCAATATCGCAAGTGTAAGGTAGAACCAACTGATAGAGATAAGGAACAAACATAGTCCGACCCTGTCTCTAGTCCCATAAAGTCAAACTCCTAACAATATGTGCCACCTGATGACCAAGTTACCAACAACAAGACTTGGAAGCACAATTCAAAAGCACCCATAGCTTTGGACATACAATTCAATTGTAGTTTATCCAGTGAATTTTGCAGACAAAGATGAGAAACACAACATGATTTGCAGCAAGAAGACTCCAACCTACAAGAGGAGAACTACGCATTCTGCACATCTCCTTTGAACCTTGAAAAAAAAGATATAACCAGATCTATCCAGGGTTCTCATGCTGCTATAGACAATCCATATTAGAAGGATCCAAATGTCAGCTAATGGCTCCAATCCACAAAGAAGACGATTTAGCAACTCAACTAAACATGATTGCAATAGATCGAAACCTTCTGCTTTCACTCACTTCACAAATTGAATTCTTAATCACTGAATCCTATACCATCTTCACTCGACACACTCAGCTGAAGAGACCTCTCCAAACTGGAGCAAACACCTGTCAACGGCTGAATAAATCCATACATTTCATGCGAGCAATTCTATTAATTAAAATAATCAGCGGGAAACTTGAACCTAAATAATGTTGATGAACCTTAAGACATTCATACAGATTCCATCAGGACCTAAATCAATTCTGTTATTGCAATAGACCACCCAGATGCTGCAAAATCCGTGCCTTCAAAGGCAATAACAAATCAAACGAGACTGTTTGATAATTTTAATTAGAAGGCAAATGAACAGAATCCCCCTCGTATAGCGGATGAGAAAAAGATGCATTTAGAACCATAAGTTAGGATATCTGGCAGACAAATCATCAATGACAAAGGATCATGTTGCCAATGGAGATCTTATACATAAATAGATTCAACAGAAATGCTCGATGCATGACATAGATTACGTATACAAATTAATATCACAATCCAAATGTTGCAATATCATAAGAAATCAAAAGGAAAAGTAGAAACTTCCGGCTCAACTTTTCCACTTGAGCAAGTGTGATGTTCTTCATCAATAAAATAGAATATAAATGACGCAGAAGTTGGTCATCCAATCAAAATAGGATAAGAATCAAAAGAGGAAATGGGAAGGTCTTTTCCAGTTGCACCAAATAGAAAGCTTCCAAAAAGAAGAAAACTGAACTCCATGCTCACCAAATATGTGAAAACCTCAAACCAAATTTTGTCCCCTGTATATGACAAACCGAAAGAAAAGAAGAAGGATCAAGAGCACGATTCAGGAACGATGTCTCCTCTGAAGAGTACTCGACAGAGGCTGTCAAGCAAAGAGCAAAACAAGAGAGGAATTGCATGCACAATCAAAGATGCAGCGCGAGACTGTAGGATGAGGACACGCAGGAGAGACTGTTTCCAGGAAGAACACCTGCATTAGATTTTCAATAGCAATGATCTAAAGTGAGCGTACGCGTTGCATAAAAAGAACCATGACCATTCATGCACCGACCAAACTTTGATCTCCAAGGAATGAGAATTGGTTTTCACATCAATCGGGAAATAGCAAGACTGGAGACCAAACTCCATCCAAACGAATAACTGCCTCGAAATGCAGTAGCTTATCTGATTGTCAGAGATCATCAACTCGACATCACAAAAATAACACAACAGACTCACCACTTCTAAAGCCCGGCATAATCATCACCCAAAGACAAAAAACCAATAAATGCCCAGAAGGTTATCAAATTTCAGTCCATCGCCGGTCTAAGATGGTGATCAAAGACTACTACTAGTTCATCATGTCAACCAAAAAACGGCAACAAAACAGATGCTCAGTCCTCCAAAAAGCTCAAACGCTTTGTTTTACGAAACAAACTGACCAGTGTCTCCCTATTCATTGTCCTTAGACAACATCCTCAGACAAGCAGTTCGCTCCAAGGGAAAAAGAATCCGGGGCGAATTCACCAAACAACGAAATCCAGGAGCAGGTCAGAAAACAATCGAACGGAAAAAAAAAATCAACGTTTGATAAACCCACAAACAACCAGAGGAGGAGCTAAACCAGTCAGAACAAGCCGGTAAAACAATAACGTGAAGATCGATCGGTCGAGAAATCAACAGATGATCAAAGGACGAGCTTGTACCAAAGAGGCCAAGCGACGATGCCAAGCGAAACCCTCACAAATCTCCGCAACACGAGTAAACTAAGTTTCTGCAACCAGCTCAGCTGCTTCACAAAATCAGACCGAGAGAAAGCAATCGGGCCCCATCAACAATCGATCAGAAACAGAAACAGAAAGAAGAGACCGATCTTCTCCGAAGAGGATTTCGCAGAGACCCGTCTCACGAGACAGAGAACGAAGGGGGCGGCGGAGAGAGAGAGAGAGAGAGGGAGAGAGAGAGAGAGAGAGAGAGAGAGGAACGCGAGCACAACCAGAAACGCCGGACAAGACTGAAGGATATGAGAAAGAAGCAGGGGAAAGACAGGACGACTGGGTTAGAGGAAGGAGATGCCCGCAACGGTCACATTGCCATCGACACTGGTAACGGTCGTCTTTTTATTTTCTTTTGTGCCATGTAAGTATCTATCTGGCTTTTCTTGTTTGTTTCTTCTTCTTCTTCTTTTTTTCAAATTTTTAATATCTTAAACAAATAACAAAGAATTTGAAAAGTTCGCCTTTTTCATGGTGAAAACCTTTTTAGTCGACATTAAATATTATGTATGATAAAAAAAAAAGCTCCTACTTAACATAATAATTGTTACTTATTTAAATTTAAAATCATTGAATACCAATAATTTTTTTTGTATGATAACATAATAAGTAAAATTATTACTAATTATAAAAAATCATACTATATAAGAGTATATAAATTCTCGAGAAGTATCAAAAGGTCTCTTTAGAAAGAGGCGACTAATTTCACACGAAAAAGTAATGTTAATTAGAGTTATAATTTATTATTAACTTTCCCAATACAATCATCTTTTGGAGGTAACGGCTCTATTTCGAAATAAAAAATAGTCTTATTAAAAAGATGACCGTTGCCAGCGTCTCCTTCCTCTAACAGTCTTACCCCATCGTCTTTCCTCTGCTTCTCATATCCCCCAAGTCTTGCCAGGCGTTTCTGGTTGTGCTCCCGTTCTTCTCTCTCTCTCTATCTCCTGTTCATCCTCTCTTGCGTGACGGGTCACTGCGAAATCCTCGTCGGAGAAGATCAGTCTCTTCTTTCGTTTCTGTTTCCGATCGATTGTTGATGGGCTCGGTTGCTTTCTCTTGGTCTGATCAGTCTCTTCATTCGGTCAGCGAAGGCATTTATTGGTTTTGATTGAAATTTGGTCTTGAGTTCTTTTAACTTTGGGAGATGATCAGGGTCTAGTTCCGGTTCTTCTCAGAAGTGGTGATCTGTTGCGTTATCTTTGTGATGTCGAGTTGATGATCTCTGACAATCAGATAAAGCTACCGCTTTTCGAGACAGTTATTGGTTTGAATGGAGTTTGTTCTTCAGTCCTGTCATTTTTCGATTGATGTGAAAACCAATTCTCTTATGGCAGGTCATATGATGTTTTTGAGCTATGCATAAGTCAGCTAATGTCAAATTTAAGGATAAACGGTTCTCAAGACCTCGCATAGGAATTCACGCTTTCTGCACAGGATGCAAGGAGCTGTTCCTCTTTATTGTCAGTTTCTTACTTTGTCGAGCAAATTTTTTGATTTTATATATTTGGAAAACTACGACAATTGTGATTGGCGGAATATAAATCACATCGTTTGTGTTCACGCTCCTGTTGATTTTCTACGGAACATACATAGTTAAAATTAAATATAAACGCAGCGGAAAGATATAACCATACATGTATCTCCAAAGGTGTTGTTCGTGCGTTTCAATCAAAAATCGGAAGACTATAGGGAGTTAAACGGATTACCTTTCGTAGCATGCTCAAAACGATTTCGGTTCGAATGTTCTTTAGTTCGAGCCCCACAACTGTCGGACCTCTAGTTCAAACACACCACCAATCGCACAACGAACGGAAGGGAGAACTTGCGGGTAATCACCAATAGAATTGTGCTAGCAATCTTGTAGCGACAATTCTCCGCACTCTCGATATTTTAATCACGACGTCGGAAGAGAGAAAAACTATTTTTAAATCTCATGCACACATACCACTCTTACTTGCACTGTTTCTTTTCTGTATTTTCTCAGCAACTGTTGCTGATCACAATTCTATTTGTGCGATCAGCAACAGTTACTGATCGCATGGATACTCACCACACAATCAGCAACCGTCGCTGATCGTGTGTGCATATAGCACACGACCAGCAACGGTTGCTGGTCGTGGATGATGCCCACGGTCAGCAACAGTTGCTGACCGTGGGTGATGCACACGGTCAACTGCTGACCGTGTGCATGCACCAGCATCATCATCATTTTCATTTTTTTTAAATTTTAAATTAAAACACACACGATCAGCAAGGAGCTGATCGTGTGCTGCACACGGTCAACATTTGTTGACCGTGTACACTTTTAATTAATTTGATATTATAAAATTAAGAGTGCAAGATCATTTGGCACATTAACATGTGTCCACTTTAGGTTTGCGTGTGCATCATATGCACGCACGCTCATGACTGAAAATAAAATTAAATTAAATCACATTTAATTTAATTACAATCTCACCAATCAATTGCTATAATTGCAAACATATTTGCAATATTGCATCTTCCGTACAACATCATTCTATATTGGTTATGGTATGTGTCGCGCCCCGAACCCCCGTCGAGCCCGCGACATCCCGCCTCCGGTCGAACAGAGTGCGACGTCCCAGGAATAACGTCGCCGACCCAACGATCCATCAGAGTTAACTCGCGGCGGAAGCAATAAAAAATCCCGGACATTAAAATTGGAGAACACCAGGAAGGAACAAATCGTCAAACCACCAAGCATATATTACACTTCCAAATATTTACATCATCCGCCAATACAAACCACAAAATAATTTATAAGCACACCGAACTATAAACTCCAAACCACCAAAATATCAAGATCAGCTCTCTAGGTCAGCACTATCCAAAAATGGGGCGCATCCTCCTCCCAAAACTATCCCCTACGCCCTCTCGAAGGCGTCCACTCTGACTCACTGTCCTCGGCATCACCACCTCAATCCTCCGCAGCTGTCTGCTCACCTGACGACTCCGAGTCGACCTCAATCTCGACATTCAGGCGGGGGCTCTGAAATGGTTTGGTTGAAACAACCATGAGATCACATCTCAATAAGTCACAACCTAAGCCCCACCTAGGCTATCACGTAATTCCAGACACATCCAAACACGCAACCAAACAACCACACAACCAGCAATCAAACATTCACACACACCTGGACTCTCTGCATATGCACCATGCCCGTTAGCCCACAATCCCAACATACAATTCTTGCACACATGCCATCATACACTTTCCACATATCAATACACACGCCAATCATACCACGGCAGTACATCACAGCTGCGCGCGTGCCTCGATTATAAAGCAAAACCTACTTGGGCACGTCCCATACCATGCCTAGCAGATTTTACCCCATAATCGCGCACTGTATTACGCGATACAAACACACTCGCACACCAACTCACACCACGCGTCACTTTCTCAAACCTCGCACCTCAAGCCAATTCCCGCTCGTTCTCAACCTTTCCACCACTACCGCGCCCGCGTAAAACGCATCAGGCCAACGGTCTTCTGACCTCGTCAGGCATCGACACCCCGTCGGGCCGGGCATCGTCACCTCGTCGGGGACGGCATCGTCCCGCGTAAACGAACACGCCTCGGGACGGAATCCTACACACACTTTCCTTCTACCGCGCCGCGTAAAACGCATCAGCCAACGGTCTTCGACCACGCGAGGCATCGTCACCCCGTCGGGCCGGGCATCGTCACCTCGTCGGGGACGGCATCGTCCCGCGTAAACGTACACGCCTCAGGACGGACCTCACCCCGCGTAAACGTACACGCCTCAGGGTCTCACTTTTCAAACCAATCCTACATTCCAGTACCTTCGTTCCACTCAAACCACATTTGTCACACGGCCACACCTACACACTGCCAAACACGCACACCTCACACACATTTCACAATTTCACATTCTCGTCACACGAACACGCCACCCAATCACACATTCTTGGCACGCGAATACAATACGCGAATGCACTATCACACCACCACATCTCACGGCCAAGCACACACTGCATATCACCAATCCACATTCAGCCCAAGCATAATCCAAATCAGCCCACGATCACAAATCACACAACCACGTACACAATTCAATTCATAGCATAATTCCCACTGATCGATTGCACAATTCAACCCCAATCCAGTCACAACATCACGGTCCTACCCAAGCTTTCTATACCTCAAATTTTCGTCGCCAAATCAGTCCACAACCACCAAATAACCAGTCTCTCAATTCAGCCCCAAACAGCCCCTAAAACAGTCACAAAATCCCCTAAACTGAACCCTAAACAGTGACCGGAATCCCATCAAAATAAATAGTAAACGAACTCCAAAAATTCTAAATTTTGGATATGTCGCAAAACACATCCCGATAAACATTTCTTATGAAGAACACGAAATCCGGTTCAATCTACAACCATGCCTTTTTGTCCCTCAAAATCAGACCAAAATCAGTTCGCTCTAACAGACTATTTTTTCCTCAAAATACATTTATTTCAACACCCAAATCACCTTGAAAAGCTTTGAAATTTTTATATGTTATAGCCACAAATGTCCCCAACAGGTTTTGTGAAGGAAGTATTTTGAAAATAGGCCTGGAAAAATTTATAAAAATTCGAACAGACCCGAAGGTCGTGTGAACAGTAAATCGGGCAGTTTTATTTCGGTCCAAAGATGGACTTCCGAATGACCTCAAATGATTTCCAAAAATTCCCAAATTAAAGTATGTTATACCTCAAGATGTTGGCAACAACTTTCATGAAGAAACCTTCCTCAAATTTGGCACACAAAATTCTCTACAAAAATAGAAAACCGGGTTGGTACAGTAACCGCGAATCCGCGATTCACCCCGAACCTCACGGATTCAAGCCCGAACCGATTTCTACCGAATTCCGACCGCCAAAACTCATTTCCCGACATCTAATCCAACCCGCAACAACCACTAACAGCCATACTCAGCCACCAATAGCCATGATTAACCACCAATAACCATGATCAACACCTTAATCAACCTCTAATCGCCCCAAACCGCACCCAAACGAGTCCGAAAAATACCCGACGTCCTAGGCGAGGTTTAGGGAGCGACTTACCCGAAATCTAGACTAACTCGGCTAGAGCGGCAAGGGGGAACGGCTGGCCGGCGTGGCTCCGGCGAAACTCCGGCGAGAGAGAAAATGAAGGAAAATGGAGAGAAAGTGGAGAGAAAAGGTGGGAAAATGGGGAGAAAATTTCTGAAGAGGGCTGGTCTGCACGTGAGAGTGAGTGAGGAGAGAGAGAGATCAGCCAACTTGGTCAAATAATTTAATTAGGGGTGCCATGTGTCAAGCTTAGGTAAAAAGGACTAAAATGCCCCTAATTAAATGGTTCCTATTCATTCTTATCTAAAAAGAGAGGGGCAAAAGGGTCAATGGTCCCCAAAGATGCAGCTGATATTTATCCATAATTATCCCAATTTATCCAAAAAAATTTGGACCCAAAAATTAGCCCAGGGGCAAAATGGTAATTTTCCGGTCCCGGGGCGAAATTCCAATTTTCGCACATACGCGTTCCATATGTGCGTGGCCAACATAATGTGGTGTCGGAATCGCGAAATTCACTTTCTAAGCCCTCGAAAATCGACTGCGAAGTTCCGGGAATAAAATAATATTATTTTTCACTTCCGAGCCAAAATTCCAATTTTCGTCCGAAACCACTCCAGATATGCGTGGCCACCCAAAAACGGCATCGGCCTCGAAAAATAACCTCAAACGGCCTCAAAATCCAACATCGATGTCCACAGGGGCAAAACTGTAATTTTCCCGGCCCCGGACCGAAATCCATTTTTTTGCAGAAATGGGTGGCCCCAAGGTTGGCCAAGCCAAAAACGTCATCGGCCATCCAAAATTGTCACTTTCAAAATTCTCGATTCCCGGGCCCGAATTCCAAGAAATGATTAAAATCGAGCAATCGCAACTTTAGCTTACCTCTGGCTAACGGGTGGCTCTCTGGAATTACGCGCTCTCGACCCGTGACCGACACTAAGTCAAATCACGTTTAAGTTTGCTCGAACCAAGACGACCTCGATTGTCATATAATTGCGAGTGTCTGTCACTAGTGCCCTTTGGACACGATCAATCAAATAGATCGGTCTCGGTTGGCTCAAAACATTCCCTCGTCAATCCATATGGTCGAAGATCAAACCCAGGTCGAGTTCTTTGGTCGTGCGAACTCAATTCCGTAATAGCCTTACCCCTAAGGTTAGCATCCCGAGGATGCGCGGGTCCCGGGTGAGATCTCACTATAAGTGCATTGGCCAAAATATTCATTTCTTAAATCCCGGGAAAATGATCGAAAATTCAGACTGTTACAGTATGTGACATCCCTAGGTTTATCACTGATCTAGTAGTAGGACTTGCACTAACACGTTTGTACTCCCAAGAAAATTGATTGTCCCGATCAACCTCTAGGTCCCACATGCCATGATTGACATCTAGCAATATGTCATGGCTACCCAGACAGTGTGAATGTTTTAAGAACATAATGAACCTGTCAGCTTTGGTTACAGTGTAATTCAATCCCTCTGCCTTACTATATCCCGATCGAAGAAAGACCATGGAATATTTGTCAAGTCACCAATTCGATCATATGCACAAATCTAATTGACATGCATTTTATATGAGACATGAACAGTTCATTCTCGGTTACAACCCTGGCCAAGGATTTCAATGCAATGTCAAGATTAGATTGCATAGGACATCATTATTGTATCTTGTGTATAACAAGGAGACAGATTCCATTTTGCGCACACGTGTAACTTTGTATGTGAACGAACTATGGCCATCAAGTACAGAGACGGATCAACGAACCAACAATATGTGTACCTGTGAACCATAGCCATCCAACACACAAGTCAACACTGTGCCTCAGGTCTAAGAATTATTTGCACAAGACCAGAGCATGAACGATTAGGCATTGACCACGCTAAAAGCTTCCATGTTGCTAATTGTTATATGCGTGTCACGTTCAGTGAACTTGTCTGATACAAACACTTGTGTTCTAGCTCGGGCATCACAATACCCAATGACTCGTGACTCGTCATTTCCTTAAATATCCAATACTTAATGGTGAAGCTAAGAACACACCGGTCTCAATAGGATTATTGATATCCACTCAATGATCCATCGACTGGGAACAATTTAAAGATTCAGTCTAACTATGAACCTGTCACACATATTCTTAACGTCTCAAAAATAGGTCCAGTCATAACTGATCTTATGGAATCATTCATATATTTAAATAATTGGACAAATGAATAAATAAGTCATTGCCATTAAATAAATAATGAAATTGAAAATACAACTTAAATCCCTAACATGTAACTATTAAATGATGACTTTAGGGCATACATCTAATAGCTCCTTCTGTTCAATCGTTTTACAAACTGTTCTAGATTAATCCAGAAGATTAGTAGTAGATTCTTTTCGGCAAAAGGACACTACAAGTGCCATAACTTATGTACGGCGATCACCTTGGTGCCATAACTTTTTTTCGGATCACTTTGGTGCCAAGTCGGAGAAAAAGAGATCACTTTAGTGCCAATTTGGCCGGAAATCCGACGTGGCATTTTTTATTAATTTTTGACGCCGACGTGGCTCACCGGAGGCTGAGTCAGCGTGTACAGTCAGCATTTTTTATTTTAAATAAAATTTTTCAGCGTGTACAGTCAGCATTTTTTATTTTAAATATTTTTTTTCCTTTTTTTTTTCTTCTTTCCTTTTTCTTTGTTTTCTTTTCTCCCCTCGCCGGCCGGCCACCGCGAAGCCCGGAAGGCTGGGCGAGGGCGGCCTTGCCCATGGTTGGCGAGGGGCGGCCGACCCTCGCCGGCGACAGCGAGGCCGGCCCTCACCGGCGTCGGGCGAGGGTCGCCCACGCCCGACTCGGGCGAGGGCGACCCTCGTCGGCCCGGCGAGGGCTTCCCTCGCCCGGACGCGGGCGAGGGCGACCTTCGCCCGCCCGGGCGAGGGCTTCCCTCGCCCGGCGTCGGCAAGGGTCGCCCACGCCGGACTCGGGCGAGGCGACCTCGCCGGCGACGGCGAGGGTCTGAGTCGGGCGTGGGCACCCCTCGCACGGGCGGGCGAGGTCGCCCTCCCGGCGTCGGGCGAGGGAAGCCCTCACTGGGCCGGCGAGGGTCGCCCTCGCTGAGTCGGGCGTGGGCGACCCTCACCCGACGCCGGCGAGGGCGACCCTCGCCGGCGTCGGGCGAGGGAAGCTCGCCGGGCGGGCAAGGGTCACCCTCGCCTGGGACGGAGAGGGTCGCCTCGCCGGATCGCGAGGGCGACCCTTGCCGGCGTCGGGCGGGGCAGCCCTCGCGGGCCGGCGAGGGCCGGCCTCGCCTGTCGCCGGTGAGGGTCGGCCGCCCTCGCCGGCCATGGGCAAGGCCGCCCTTGCCCAGCGCTTCCCGGGCTTCGCCGGTGGCCGGCCCGGCCACCGGCAACTGGCCGGCGAGGGGAGAAAAGAAAAAAAAGAAAAGAAAAGAAAAAGGAAAGAAGAAAAAAAAATGAAAAAAAATATTTAAAATAAAAAATGCTGAGTGTACACGCTGAAAAAAATTATTTAAAATAAAAAATGCTGACTGTACACGCTGACTCAGCCTCCGGCGAGCCATGTCGGCGTCAAAAATTAATAAAAAATGCCACGTCGGATTTCCGGCTAAATTGGCACTAAAGTGATCTTTTTTCCTCCGACTTGGCACCAAAGTGATCCGAAAAAAAGTTATGGCACCAAAGTGATCGCCGTACACAAGTTATGGCACTTGTAGTGTCCTTTTGCCGATTCTTTTCTCTTGGAGCAATCTCTTTGAGTGAGGATGTGGTCCCAAGAATGATATACATGATGCGGTTGGTCAATTATTACTTAGAATAACTGAGCTTTTCTTGAATTTGACGATCTCGTCACAGCTAGCTTTGATTGGGTTGTTGGACCGGGAATATACTTGATCATCTTCAGGTTGGGGTGAAAAAATGAAATTCTGTTAACCTCCTGCTGCATAGGCCCTTGTAATTTTTGTTGAAATTTCATTCATCAGTTACTGAATTGAAGTATATACGTTGGAGTTTTGCCAGATTTCGGAAGTGGCTGAGTTGATGAATGACGGGGTCCGGGATTTGTTCTAATATTTTGTGTTCTGCTTATAATATGCTTAGAAGTTCAATTGTGTTGTCTGCTTATAACATGAATTTGATCTTCATTACATCATGAAGTAAATGATATTGAGGGTGACAAAAGGAAACATTCATTATTCAAGAAATGTTCATCCTCCAGTCTCATACCTCCTCAATTTGTATGTATTTTTTTTTATGTCGCCATTCTCCATGTGCATGTATATGGTGCATCCCTAATCATTTTGGTCATGCTTTTATGATACGGTGTGTGAGGACTCTTCACTATGGTTGAAGGGTTTGAAGTTCGATGTAAGATCTCTAGTTGTAATTGGATGGCCACCCTATTTGACATACAGGTGCAAGAAGAGAGTATTTAGTCTCCTTAGTTGAAATAAGATACTTGGGTTTGCTTAGCCTATTTTTTTCACAGCTGCATGCTTTCTTTTGGTACGGGAACATTGTTTGGGACATTTTTACAAATGAGGCGAATTTGTAGGTGAAATAGATTGCTTTGAGTTTGCAGTGCCTCCTTGATTTTAGGTTCTCTTTGATCATTGGAACTATGAAGACTTTCCTGCAGGACCTAAGATTTACTTTGTTGCAAACTTGTGGCATCTCATTTTGAAGAAAAGATGAACTGGTACGAGATGATGCAGCATAGCCATTGAGGCATAACTTCCCTTGGCATTGCTTGCTCTCCGACCAGCTGTTGACATTCTCTTGTTTCTTATTCATCACAAAGCCGTGTTGTTTCGTATATGTTGTGGTCAGCAGACATAGGTGGTCATGCTGGGAGGATTAAACTCTGGGTGCTTAGTTGGCGTATTTGTCATATGTTTTAGTTCTTTAAGGTGAGTGAAATTGAAGTGGCAGATGATCATCCTGCAGGTAGTAAGAGCTTTTGGTTGAGGTTTTAACATAACTGGTGAGCAGTTCAGTTTTTTTCCCCTTCTGATTTCTTATGATAGCCTTCATACATATAATCTAATTTAATCATCAAGCAGCTCTTGAACCTCTTTCGGGCTATAAGTTAATAGATCTCCATTTGTAGCATGATCTTTGGCCAATGATGATCTGTCTCCCATATATTATAAATGTGAAAAGAAAAACTTTTCTATTATTCTAATAAAAAAAGATTACAAAATATATATATACTTAACCCTTCTAAAAACATATTACTATTCTACCCTTATTACTAACAATATACTTTCTAGCACTCCCTTCAAGTTGGGATGTAAATATCAAATAATCACAACTTATTACATAAGAAGCTCACTCTATTCCCTTGTAGAGATTTAGTAAAGATGTCTACGAGTTGATCATCTGTCTTTCTGTGTTGCAGAATAATCTTCCCCTTTTGAACTTTTTCTCGCAGAAAATGACAATCAACCTGAATGTAATTTGTTCGCTCATGGAAGATAGGATTAGATCCAATGTGAATAACAGATTGATTATCACAATATAACACTGATGGATCTGATGGTGACATTCCAATCTCTGATAGTAACATCCTCAACCATAGTAATTCACCTGTCACATGTGTCATAGCTCGATATTCAGCTTCAACGCTTGATTGGGAAACTACATGTTGCTTCTTGCTCTTCCACGCAACTAAATTACCTCCAAGAAACACATAATAGCCTAAAGTAGATCTCCTATCCATAGGACATCCAGCCCAATCGGTATTAGAGAAGCCTGTAGTGTTGAGATGACCATGATTCTTTAACAGTAGTCCTTTACCTGGCGCTCCTTTCAAATATTTGAGAATTCGAAGTACAGCATCCCAACGAGGAGAACTCATGAACTAGCTTACTACACTAACAGCAAAAGATATATCAGGCCTTGTAACGGTAAGATAGTTTAGCTTACCAACTAATATCCGATACTTTGCTGGATCATGTAATAATTCTCATAAAGTCTCACATTAGGGTCCATAGAGTATCAATTGGCTTTACTCTAAGAAATCCAACCTCGCCAAGAATGTCAAGTACATCCACTGCAATAAAGTGATACTGGCATGTGAGTAGGCTATTTCAATACCAAGAAAATATCGAATACATCCTAGATCTTTAGTACCAAATTCTATATGTTGAAATTGCTTAAGTTTGTGAATATTATCTAAATTACTGCCTGTAATGATGATATCATCCACATATACTAGTTCAGATATTAAGCACTTGCTTTATGATCAATTTCGTTTTCTTTGGCATTTGCTTTGAAGGCACATGAATAAGCATGCACCGGGTCTATTTTCTGAAAAATGTTGGTGAACGTTTATCAACCTCATCAAGGTTCAAGTCTCCCTCTGATCATATCAATCAGTTTGGTGGCTTCCACGCTATATGGATTTATTCAGTCTTTGATCGGTGCTTGATGCAGATTGGAGTGATCTCACAAAGGATGTCATGTGAGGATGCTAATGTATTAAGCTGTTAAAGAATTCAAGTTCTCGAGTTGGTGAATGCAGGAGGTTATCATCTAACGCAATTGTATTCAGGTGAGCTACTGAATATGGATGAGCGATGTCCGAATCCTTCTATATGGATGGTCTATATCAACTATTGGAGGAGATATGATGAATTCCCTATTTGATGAGCACAACAACACCATGCCCCATGTTTTGTACCCTTGATGCACTGGACCCAATGCTTGGACACCACAGTCCTATATACCTGGTCCATCTTGCACAAAAGAAACATGTGTAGGAGTGAGTCAAACCCCACGCCAGAAACTAAATAGAGAACAAATCTGCCAATGGCCGATTTGGGTTTGAAATTGGGATTTTCTTTCAATTTGGTGATTTAAGGTTCTTATTTGGGGGAAAAGCTACTAGACAATGTCGTTTATGCTTTAAATGCTTACTAGAAATTAACAAAAAATTAATTAATTTTTCAAAAAAAGGCCAAGTTGGATTTTCGTTCGAATATATCGGAGTTGGAACTAAAAAGATCGTTTTTCAAAAAAATTCGCACTTAAGTGATCCAAAAGTAAAAAAACTTTTGGCATTAAAGTAAGCGTCAAATAAGCACCATACATAACTTTGACACTTTTTCACTTTTGACATTAAAGTGAACGTCATACACAACTTTGACACTTCTGATGTCCTTCTCCTGTTTTTCTTGGAAAAGAGGATTTTGTACATCAAAGTTCTTGCCCTGACACCCCCCTCAACAAAATAAGATGGTAGAAAGGAAGAATAAACAAGACACATTTTAGAAGTAATTAGAGCTCTGCTCTTTGCAACTAAAGTTCCCACATGGATGCATTGCAGAGTTTTATTAAAGTTTCAAATAACAGCCTCTAAATTTGGTTCAGCCTTACCCTTAAAACTATTTTCATTGTGTCTCCTCCCACATCCATGACAGAAATCAAGGGAAATCAAGGGAAACTTGGTCGTAGAGTAAAACAACGTGTGCTTTTTTGCTATGCACCTAAAATGCCGATACGATTTCTAAAAGAAATATTTGTCACTATGAATGTCATTTTTTTTTAATTAACACCTTTTTGGAGCTCATCTTTAGGGGGGAAAGAAAGTGCAAATTCACAAAATACCATCTCTTTTCGTTTTGCAAAACCTGAAAATCCTCTTCCTATAAATTATGTTCCTGCAATCCTTATACCTGATTATGAACCAATTTTTTTTTAATAATGAACATTTGGATCCACCTATATTGACATCTCATCCTACTTGTGATAACAGGTGCGAACCTAGTACAAAACATACAGAACTTCCATCATATTCTCAAGTCTACATGAGAAGAAACAAAACTCAAAGAAATTCTCCTACTCCCTTAAGGTGCCAAGACTCCGAGCTAGGTCAGGACAAAAACTCCATACAGTCATCAACTCAATTTGTCCAACCTGATCTTAGTAAAAAAGATGAGTCCACTGTTGAACTTAACATACTATTCAAAAAGGAGTTAGTTCTTGTATCAAACATCCCGTGCCAAACACATAACCTTGTCTTATGTGGAGAATTCCAAAAATTGTGCAGGAAGTGATTTTTGATAAGATGAAACTCTGGAAAAAAAATGGAACGCGGGATATGGTGGATCCAAGGGAAAAGACAACAGTTGGACAAGTGGGTATTCACAACTAAGCATAGATATGACGGATCCCTAGAAAGCTTGGTTGGTTGCCAAATGTTTCACCTATGGGATCGATTACTCTGACCTTCACTCCTGTTGCAAAACTAAACACTGTAAGAGTCCTGTCACTTGCAGCCAATCTTGACTAGCCTCTACAGTTACTAGATGTGAAGAATGCATAGAATGGAGGAAAGACCACACTTGGTAGATATGACGGATCCCTTAAAAGGTATAAAGCTCGGTTGGTTGCCAAAGGTTTTTACCTAGACCTATGGGATCGACTACTTTGAGACCTTCGCTCTAGTTGCAAAACCAAAACTAAACACAAGAGTGCTCCTGTCACTTGCATCTTGATCGGCCTCTGCATCAACTAGATGTGAAGAATGCATTTCTGAATGGAGATTTGGACAAAGAAGTATACATGGATTTTCCCCTGGGGTTTGATAGAAGGTTTGGATCAAAGGTATGTAGATTGAAGAAGTCACTATATGGACTAAACCAGTCATTGATGGACTCATTTGAGAAGTTCACTCAGCCTGTGAAGAAACAAAGGTATGTTCAAGGACAAGCTGACCATGTTTGTAAAGCAATCCTGTGATGGGAATTTGTAATTTTGATAGTGTTTGTGGATGACATCATTCTCACTAGGAATGATATTATTGAGACGAACAAGTTGAAAGAATGTCTTGCTTTTGAGTTTGAGATCAAGGATTTCAGAATTGCATTTCCTTGGAATGGAGGAGCTCGGTCGAAAAAGGGTTCATGAAACTGATCTATTTGTCGTGTACTCGGCTAGATACCTTCTCTATGAGTATGGTAAGCCAATTTATGCACTCTCTATGTATCTTGGGACCGTGTACAGGAATCTAAAGATTATCTTAAAGAGCACACTTGGGAACTTGGTTACTTGGCAAAGTAAGAGTAAAAATGTGATGGCATGAAGCAGTGCAAAAGCGGAATATCGCATGTTATCTACGAGATGTTGTGGCTATAACGCGAGTACCAGAAGAACTTCGAGTACCAGTGAAAAATGCATATGATGTACATAATCCAGTGCAACATAACAGAACTAAGTAGATCGACAGATATCTAGGAGAAGATTGATGCGAGAGCTGAATACTTGAGGTGGTGGGTGTCGAAGAATTAGGAGAAAATATCCGGATAAGAAATTATTTTATTTTCGTTTTATTGTTAGGAAATTCGCTCCCATTTTCTAGCTGTCCTAGGCCATATTTTTATGTTGTCTGTAAATATGATAAGAAATAGAAAGTCCACAAAGAACACAGCTAAACTTTCTACCTGTAAAAGATAACGTCACTCCACAAAGATATGATAAACTGAAGAACTATATCACTAGTCCTAGAAGGTCTCTATGATCAATCATCAAAACCGATAAGTGCCTAGATCATTAGTCCTCGAATCAAGTGAATTCACCGAATAATGAAATTCAGAATGATGCTCATAACCTTCGGAAATTCCACAGCATTTGTGGATCGGATAAAAAGACTTGGTAAATAGAAAAATACCCATGCCTATGCGACAATTAAATATTCCTCGTCATTACAAGGCAGATATTCCAAGGTAAAAAAAGCAATTCAATTTAATCTGGCGAAAAGGAAATAGATCTGTCTATATGAAAATTTCCTTCTCATAGTGGGAGCACAAGGATCGTCCTTGATTTCTTTCCATGGCAAAAAAAGACCTAGAGATCATCTACATCATGCAAAGTACCCGCAATCATGATTCTTGCAGATATTGTGGCCAAGATGAAAATCATTTGTGAGGCAAATTCAGATCAGGTGAAGAATAAATAAGAGCATCCAGGAGGAGAGAGCTCCCTGAGAGAGTGATAACAGAGAAACAAACAAACTGAAAGTAGACATGGATTTGGTCTGCCATTAAATTAGTGAATATCTGCAATCAATATCCCATAGAACCATCTGATAAAAGATAAGGAAAAAACATAGTCAGATCCGGTCTCTAGTCCCATAAGGTCAAACTCCCAACAATGTGTGTCACCTAATGACCAAGTAAGCAACAACTAGACTCGGAAACACAATTAAAAAGCACCCATAGCTTTGGGCACACAAATCAATTATGGGTTTATCCAGTGAATTTTGCAGACAGAGATGAGAAACGAAACATGATTTCCAGCAAGAAGACTCCAACCTACAAGAGGAGAAGTACCCGTGGGCACACAAATAAATTGTATCCAGTGAATTTTGCAGACAAAGATGAGAAACGCAACATGATTTCCAGCAAGAAGATGCCAACCTACAAGAGGAGAAGTAGACATTCCGCGCATCTCCTTTAATCCTTGGAACTAAAGATATCCAGGGTTCTAATGCAGCTATAGACAATCCATATTAGAAGGATCCAAATGTCATCTCATGGCTCCAACTAAAAAAGAAGACGATTCAGCAACTCCATCAAACATGATCACAATAGATCGTAACCTCTGCTTTCACTCACTTGACAAACTTGAATTCTTTAATCACTGAATCCTATACCATCTTCACGTGACATACTTAGCTGAAGAGATCCCTCCAAACAGAACCAAGCACCTGTCACAACGGCTGAATAACTCCATACATTTCATGCGAGCAATTTTATTAATTAAAATAATCAGCGGGAAACTTGAACCTGAATAATGTTGATGAACCTCAAGACATTCATACAGATTCAATCAGGACCTAAACCAATTCTGTTCTCACAATAGACCACCCAGATGCTGCAAAATTCGTGCCTTCAAAGGCAATAATAAATCAAACGAGACAGTTTGATAATTTTAATTAGAAGAAAAATGAACACGAATCCCCTTGTATAGCGGTTGAGAAAAAGATCTATTTAGAACCATAAGTTAGGATATCTGGCAGTCAAATCATCTCCGACAAAGTTTCATGTCGCAAATGGGGATGTTATATATAAATAGATCCAACAGCTATGCTTGATCTGAAAAATAAGTTATGTATACGAATTAATATCGCCATCCAAATATTGCAATATCATACGAAATCAGAAGGAAAAGTAGAAACTTCCTGCTCGACTTTTCCACCTGAGCAAGTATGATGTTCGTCACCAATAAAATAGAATAGAAATGACGTAGAAGTTGGTCATCCTATCAAATATGATAAGAATCAAAAGGGTAAATGGGAAGGTTTTTCCCAGTTGCAGCAAATAGAAAGCTTACAAAAAGAAGACTGAACTCCATGCTCACCAAATGTGTGAAAACCTCGAAACCAAATTTTATCCCCTGCGGGAATATGGTCTGCTAATTCAATTTCACTCAACTAAAAAACACACAAAATATGACAAACAGAAAGAAAAGGGGAAGGATCAAGAGCGCGATTGAGGAACAGTATCTCCCCTGAAGAGTACTCGACAGAGGCTGTCAAGCAAAGAGCAACACAAGAGAGGCATTGCATGCACAATCAAAGATGCAGCGCCAGACTGAATGATGAGGACACGAGGGAGGGATTGTTTCTAGGAAGGACACCTGCTTTAGATTTTCAATAGCAATGATCTGAAGTGAGCATACGTTGCATGGAAAGAACCATGACAGTTCATACATCGACCAAACTTTGACCTCGGAAAGAAAGAGAATTGGTTTTCACATCAATCGGAAAATAACAAGACTAGAGACAAACTCCATTCGAACTAATAACTGTCTCAGTTGAGATGAGAGAATTTTGTGCATATTACTTGCTTGAATTAATTGAACTACAAGGCCAAGTCCCTTTATATAGGGAAAGAATGAACATTAATGAACAGTAAACCCTAAATTATATATTATATCTAACATCCCCCGCAAACTCAAGGTGAGTTGAAATAAGTCAATTGGAGTTTGGAGAGAAGACCTAGGAAGCGCCCAGGTGGATGTGTCTTGGTGAAGATATCGGCAGTCTGATGAGCTGATGAAGTAAAATTAAGTCGTAGAGTGCCACGAAGAACATGATAGCAGATGAAGTGACAATCTATCTCAATGTGTTTGGTGTATTCATGGAAAACATCATTATGTGCAATTTGGATAGCACTGCGATTGTCGCAATGAAGGACTGTCTCGCTATGATGACGGACTCTCATATCTTCCAGTAGCCATCGCAACCATAATAACTCCGATGTGGTATCAGCAAGAGCTCGATATTCAGCTTCTGTACTAGAACGAGCAACAATGGATTGTTTCTTGCTACGCTAGGAGATAAGTGAAGTGCCCAAGAAAAAACAGTAATCCGTAGTGGAGCAACGATCTTAAGGGTTACCACCCTAGTCAGCATTTAAATAGGCAGTCAACTCCAATGTCGAATGAGTAGAAAAGTGAAGGCTATGAAATAACGTACCCTTGATATAGCGAAGAATACGAAGAAATGCAACAAAGTGAGTTGTACAAGGCATTGTCATGTACTGGCTGACAATATGAACAGAATAAGCAGCATAAGCGATATCAGGGCGAGTATCAGTGAGATATATAAGACTGTCAACTAGCTGTCAATAGAGGGTAGGGTTTTAGAGAGGAGTCCCATCACCAGCATCAAATTTGGCATTGATCTCAAGAGGGGTCATAACAACCTTGGTGTCTGTGAGTCCTGCTCGAGAAAGAAGATGAGTGGCATATTTGGCTTGCAAAAGATAATAACCGGATGTGTCTGAGGTAACCTCCGAGCCTAAAAAATAACTAAGTTGTCCAAGATTCTTCATCTCGAACTGTTGACTAAGATAATGCTTGAGTTTTGAAATTTCGGGATCGTCATCTCCAGTAATAACCATATCATTGACATATAGGAGCAACAAAATAGACTCATGAGAAGTATATCAAACAAAAAGAGCGTTATCGTAGGGACTAGATTTAAAGCCAAGAGATGCCATGATGGAGCTAAACTTGGAATACCATGCACGAGAATATTGTTTCAATCCATATAATGCACGACATAATCGACACACTTGGTGGGAAGAATGAGTGTAGCCAAGAGGGGTACCATATAAACTTCCTCAGTGAGATCACCATTTAGGAATGCATTTTTTACATCCATATGAAACGTAGGCCAACGCTTAACAGCGACGACAGCAAGGAGACTACGTACAAAAGTAAAACGTGCAATAGGGGCAAAAGTCTCTTCATAGTCAATGCCATATTCCTGAGTGAAGCCTTTCGCAACGAGGCAAGCTTTATAGCGGTCCACAGTACCATTTGCTTTTGTCTTAATCTTATACACCCATTTACAATCGACAGTGGACTTACCAGGAGGTAGAGCAACTAAATCCCAAGTATGAGATTTGTCTAAAGCTTGTAACTCATCTGTCATTGCCTTCTGCCAAAAAGGGTTAGTACCAGCTTCTCTATATGTGCGAGGTTCATGAAGGGAAGCTATCGTAGAATAACAATGGTAATCTTAAAGCCGAACAAAAGGTTGACTTACTCTGGTGGGGCAACGATTAGAGGAGGAAGGAATGAACGGTGGTGGAGAATCCGCGAAAGGTGCAGACACGTCAAAAGTGGTCAAAGTGGGGTCACCGGAGAGCCCTACTTCTAGATGAGGGAAAGATATGTCTGGAATGGAAAAGTCAGATGTGGACGAATGTCACGCCCCGAGCCTCGAGCGCGCTAACATCCCACCAAGATCGTTATAAATGCGACGTCCCAGGATGCATCGCCGACCCAATCGAATTACTAACGATTAAACGCATGCAGAAGCGAACTAAAAACTCCCAATCACAACAGCAGGGATAGTCAGGAAAACACACCTCAATTTAAACAACATCATCAGCAATACATGGGGTTGATATATTACAAGTCCGCCACACGGACCTTCCCGATTACAACCAGAACAGGTAGGGGTTAACCTAGCTCCTCTATCTACGAGGATGACCTCAAAAGGTGTTTTCCCTCAAAAAGTCAGTTCCCAAGGAACGGTACGTGTACTCATATCGGATGACCTGAAAAGTGGTTAACACCAACGGATGAGATAAATCTCAGCTAGTTCACGACCTAAGCCTCGACTAGGAGGTCAACTCATCTCGGATGTACCTAACATATGCAACGATACATCGATGGCAGACAACTCAATATAGAACATACAGGTACTTCACAACACAATCACAAGCAGCCTTACCTTGCCTTGGCATATGCACATGCCCTATACGTTATAATTCACCGTATGCCATGATAATGCAATAAGCATATAATGCAATCAGAATACGCATCAACCTTCTCAAGCACAATGCCACCACAATCTTTCACGCGTATTCCAATTACTACAGCCACACTAGGGGCTACGGCACAACCCGCGATATTCGCCTCAGGTTGGTAGTCTTCCGGTATATCCGGGCATCGTCCCGCCCCATCGGGCACGGCATCGTCTCACCCAACCACAATGACGGCATATCCCATAAATGGGTTAATTCCGAATCCGATTCGCGAATGACTACGTCTCCCCTGCTACCAGCGACGGCTTCCAATTACCAAATTGGGGACACCCGTTAGGGCCACGGCCAAACCCTAGGTTGGCGGTCATCCGGTATACGGTTTTCCGATATAACCGAGCACGAAAGGAACCTTTAAGTGATCATGCACACATAGCAACACTCATGTTCCATCATTATAATTTTCAATAGCCGATGCAAATATGATCCGTGCTAACACGTTGAAATATCGCAACTTCCACACGTAAAAATGTACTAAAATATTCACACGTGATTATGCACATATCAATAAATTCCCAAACTTGGCATGCTTCTATATTCAAGTACCCACAACATATTTCTCACATAAAACTTAACAAATAAACCCGACACCTCAGGGTTTATTAATTAAATACCCGTAATTCTATATTTCGCCATAACCAAACAATTTAATTTGGCATACAAACCAATATATAAGGCAAATTCTAGCTTAGGCATCACAATTTAAGCCTAAAATAAACACAATTTAATTTCGGAATTTCCACAAAAATATTAATAAAATAATAATATTTTTAATTTCGAAAATTAATAAAATATTATTATTTAATTCCCGAAAATTAATATAATATTTCAATAGCTTAACAACTAATTCCTAATTAATTAACACTAAACATAATTAACTTAAACTAATCCCCTCTAATCAAGTTTAACCTACTAAGCAAGAGATTAGTGCGAAAACTCACTCGTTAGCGAATCCGACGACACGAGCGCGACGGCGGCGGCGAGGGCTACGCGTTGCATGGTCCGAAAACAACACGGAACGATGACACACGGCCGGAATAGGGCTGAACAGAGCCACAAAACCGGTTTGGCTTCGGTGAGGCGATCCGGCACGGCGAAGGAGCGGCTGCTGTGGTGGCTGGTTGGGGCTGCTTGGGGGCTGATCCGGGCATGTAATGGTGTCTGGTGGTGTCGGCTAGGTGGCTGGACAGCAGCGGAGCAGCGGCTGCAACGGCGGGGACGGACAACGGGCGACGAAGCTAGAAACTTGGCTGGAAAACAGCCCGCGACGGGGGCTGTTTCCGGCGAGAAATGGACCAGTCCGGCGGCTGGAAATGAAGAAGCCGAAGGGAGCAGAACAAGAAGCAGCAGCAGCGAAGCAGAAGCAACAGCAGCAGAGGAGCAGAAGCAGCAGCGGTGAAGAAGCAAAACCAACGAAGGAGAAGAAAAGAATAAGAAGAAAGAGAGGGGGAAATGATGGGGAGTTGGTGGGCTCGGTGGGGGAGTCAAACACGCAAAAAGGGGGGGGGGGGGGGGCGGGGCGCGACCGGCGGAAAAAGAGGGGAGGAGAGAGAGAAGTCAAATCGTAATAATCGCGATCCAACGGTCACGATTTGAATCCAAAAACGATCTAACGGTCCCCGAAAAATCTTAATTAATAATTTAGGATTTGGCCAAAGGGTATTAATAAAAACACACCGCGAGAGAGGTCTATCGGTCCAAATCCGCACCCGATCAAAAATTCACTTTCCACATATCCCGTGCAATATCGAGGTTGGCCACAATAATATCGACACCGTCCAATTAAATTCGTCCCGGAACTCCGAGAAATTTGACACCAAAGTTTGGACTCTAAATAACGGCCAAATTCGATCAAGTGCGATTCTAGCGAAATCTCAATTTTAAAAACAATAACCGGGAGTGATCAATTCCCGTTCGAGATTTTACTATAAGCACACTGACGAATTACACATTTTATAAATCCTAAAAATTGACCAAAATTCGGAATGTCACAACGAAAGTGTGGTATCTTCTAGAAATAAGTCCACGAAATGATTGGTAAAGAAAGGAACATGAGCATAGGGGTGGAAGGGATGAATAGAAGAGAACATCTTGTGTTTCCAAAAAGTGACATAACGGGACACATGAAGACGGTTGGAAGTGGGATCCCAATATCTATACCCTTTGTGCTCAATGCCATATCCAAGGAAGCAGCATATATGGGCACGGGGTTCTAATTTCGCGCGTTCATGTGGATGAAGGTGCACAAAACAGGCACTACCAAAGACGTAGAAGAGTGTAATTTGGAACACTACTATACAAACACTCATAAGGAGAGATGTGACCTATAATAGGTGATGGAGTACAATTTATAGTGTAAACAGCAGTGTGACAAGCTTGCCCCCAAAACCGTTCAAGACAAGAGGCGGAGATAAGCAGAGTACGTACAACATCTAAGATATGCCTATGCTTACATTCAGCTCTACCAT